TTATCTAAATTCTTTATAAACCCTACTCTAGCCCCAAACACAATCTAGGTCATTTCACTCAGTTCTCTATTAAGTCATGCAGGAAGCATTCATGCTTAATGTTTTTTCTTGAACTTATGAGTGGAAATCCGACCCACATGTCTGAAGTCTGTGGAACACCCACATACAGTATTTGCTTTTGTCTCCTATCCACACAAAGCTAAAGAAGCAAAGTTAACTGGAGAGTTAAGTGGCACAAATAGGTGGCTGGGGAGGGACAGCAGCTTAAGACCTACGGCTGGAACCTGGGACATAAAAGACCTGAACTTGTAGAGGAGGCCATAACACTAGTCACAAGCTGTCTGCATCTTCTCAAAGAAGAGAATTAGAATGTCAGAAAATGTTAGAGTTAGAAGGAGGTGATCACTAGCCTGGTTATCTTTACAGGAGTGAGAGATTACAGGTGAGATGGAGGCACACAATGCACACACACATGTGTTTACATGTGTGTATTAAGATGTATGTGCGTATGTACATGTACATGTCTGTGAACACACGCAGGGCAGAGATAAAAGAAACAGTTAAATATCAAATAATAATGTTCAGTGTCTGCTGCAAGTTTCATATGTGCCAGGGTGCTATGATTCCCAGTGTTCTTTGAAAAAAATCTAACCATTATGACTGTTCTGAGGTCTTACTTTTAAAGTAAGATTACAGGCTTGGGGATACAGCTCAGGGGTTCAATTCTCAGCACTGCAAAAGACAAAAGAAAAAAAGAATACAGAGGCTCAGAAGGGTTAAATGTGGTAGCAGAGACCACACTTATCAAATAAGTTAGAGCTGGGATTTGATCTCAGAACCTGCTCTACTTATCAGCTGGTTTAGATATCCATTTCCTGTCTTAAGATTTTTCATTAAAGTGTTCTCTCCTCACAATTAAGTTTAAAATCACTGATTTAATCCATCTCCCATTTTAACACACACAAATATTGTGATTGAGACAGAGAATGACCGTAACCTATCTTAGTCACTTCTTCGTTGCTGCAACAAAATACCTGATACCTATAACTTAAAGGGGTGGAGGTTTGCTGGGGCGCACTGTCCAGCACCCTCCCCAGTCAGAATGGATGACACGCTTTCATTTGTTTATTTGTGCTTTTGCACTATTCTTTTGGAATCATAGCTAAGAAATTATTGCCCAGACTGATCTCAGGATGTATGTTCCCTATTTTTTCTTCCAATATTTATACATATTCTACAATATTTTCATATCTTACATTTACATTTTTAGTCTGCTTTGAGTCAGTTTTTGTATAAGGAGAAAAATAAGGATCTATTTTTATTCATATGTGTACGAATATTTACTTTTCCTAGGACTACTTATTGAAGACTCTCCTTATTGTGTATTCTTGGCACTTTAATTGAAAATCAGTTCATTATAAATCATGGATT